CCAAAATTCTGTGAGGTTTTCACCATTCTTAAAACTTGCTTTTAACATCTCGTTAGTGGAAATTTCGATCAATTCTTGATACTGTAGTTTTACTGATTCAATATTTACAAAAGTGTTTATGACCCATTGAGGAACTTCCAGGGACAAAATATCTTCAAAACGTTGTGAAAAATCTTTATCCAAAGATTGAAGGTGTTGACAGTAAATTTGTGTGTCATCAAACGAGATCTTACTGTTTTTGTGTATATCTGACAGGATTGGAAACTGGCCAAACTCGTTGCGACCAAAATTGTGCTTCCATAAAGTTAGTTTTTCTTGGAAAGCAGAAATAATAGATTTAGTTGTTATGAAATTGAGCTCGTCGCCTTGAAGTTGCAAATTGATGTCATTGAATTTTGCGAATAAATCGGTCATATAAGCGATATCGGTCTTAAATTTTAGCAACTTACTTCTCAGATCTACATCTTTCTCTTCAAGGACTCAAGTATAGATTCGAATATATTCCAAAACCTGTTGAGGCACGCGCCTTTGGAGAGCCATCGAACCTCGGTGTGTAGAATCAAACGATTGAATTCTTCGTCGTCTTTACACAGTTGTGCAAATAGTCGATCGTTGAGAGAATTACTGCGAATTTTGTCGACAGCAGAGATGATGTATCGTAATGACTGATGCAAACGGTCGCTCAGGATTTTCGCAACTAAATGCTGTCGGTGAATCACGCAGTGAACAGCTAAAATACCTGGTACTTCTTTCTTTAAAAAGGCGATGAACCCACCATTGCAGGCGCTCCATCAGTGGCAACAGACATAATGTTCACAAGAGGAATATTCTTTTCTTTAAAATAATATTTGACGGTATTGAAAATAGATTCACCTTTAGTATCTGCTATCAAGGTTCTTGCAAAAAGCATCTCTTGTATGATTTTTCCTTCCTTAAAAAGTCGAACATACGCCAACAGCAAAGCCTCGTTACCAGGCAATGTCGATTCGTCAACTTGAAGGGAAAATTTGTTATAATACCAAGAGCTCGCATAAAGAAACTTCTACGTCTTCAGCCATTTCATCAATTCGTCGTCGCACAGTATCGTTACTTAATAGAACTTTTTTAAAGACATTGTATGAGGCTGAATGGTGTAGAACTGTTTCTAGAACTTCCTTGATATCTGGCAGTATCAATTGTTCACCAATGGTATGAGCTTTTCCTGATTTAGCTATTAATTTTGATATATTATAAGAGGCTATTAAACCATCGTCACATTGTGTTGAAGAAGTTGTGAGTAAGCCTGAGACTGACGGAGCCTTCAAACACCTGTCCCTAATATTCGTAAAAAATAACAAATTTTTATTTTGTTTGTCTGGGTGAATTTTTTGAAGATGCTCTTGCAAACGCGACGGTTTCATTGCTTCGTTAGATAATATTCTATTGCACAGTAAACACATAGGAAGCTGGACGTTGTACGGTGATGGAATAAATCCGTACATCAAGTAATTTGTATTATATTAGCGACATTTCCTTTTTGCTTCTGACATCGTTGAATAATATACAATTTGAATATAAATAGAAACACGAAACGACAACTAACACAACTGGCACGGGTAAAATCTAAATGTATACTGAAAGTACAGTAAAAAAAAAGCATAATGCAGTTAAAGAGTAATAAAGAAAATTATTACAGATAAGCAAACGTTTGACGCTCTGGTATGTGTAGCTTATATTTCATAATCACGAATTTATTTTAGTAATCGATAAAAACAAAAACATTTACCAAGATAAATTTTGGTGCATTGCTTTGAACGGAAAAAAAGATCACCGCCCCCCTATCACCCAAAACAAGCCCACCGCCCAAAACGAGCTCACCGCCCACCGGGGGACGATATCGCCCCCGTTGAGAAGCACTGGTTTACATAATAGTAAGTATATGCTCAATATTTAGCTGAATTTTCTGACTTTGCATTCATCTTTTGAACGAAAATGTCGAGTAGTTATTGAGTCTATATACCGGATGATCCATTTAATTGGGTATACTCATTATCTCGGATTATATTAACTTTTTACAGAAATTGTTTTCTAGAACATTTAAGAAACAGCTGTTCTACAATTTTAAATTTATGTTATTTTTGGGGGCAAAACCATTACCCACCTTTTGATTTTCAAATGGCAACTTATATTAAAAAGCCTATAAATAAATTGAATATTAGTTAAAATAACGAAAAATAAAAAAATATTTGTGTACAAACAACCATACAATATCTGATTCGAATGATTATTCTAATTTAAATAGATGTAAAATTGTATAAAATACTACTGTGTTCGCAACACAGATAATGTACCTTAAATAAAATAAAATTATCAACAATAAAAATTAATGGCTGAATGGAACAACTTTGTTTATTTTATTTTTTATATGAGTTTGCATCACTTTGACAGATTCAAATGCAAACATTTTTCCACGTGACCAGTGGTCTTTGATTGGTCGAATTTAAATTTAACCGCCAAATTAATATATTATTACGATTTGTTTGTTATTGACGAAGACGGCTAATTACGTTAACTTGCATGATCTCGTTGAGCCCCCTACAGTTTGGGGGAGGAGGAATAACTGCTTATCTAACTTAAATTCCTAACCTTATACTACTGCAAGGAGGATAGTGTCTTAAATGAAAACTTAAAATTTGTACGTGAAACCAGGCTTTCGGCCAACTTATTTCGCTCGCTCATGTTGGACTTTTAATCGAAAATAAACCCCCGATTTTTTATTACAATACCATGTTGCATAGATAACTGAGAGAAAAAAAACACGGAGAATTATTTCTCCAAATGTCGGGTTTAAACTCAAGTACCTCTGCTTGGGAAGTGCTACGTTAGCCCATCATATCACTATAATATTACACAATACGAATTCTGGGAAATCATCTTAAAGAAAAATAAATAACAATACTGTAAGCAAAAAATCACAAATGTCTACGTCTCTTTCTAGCTATGCTGCAGTTACTATAAAAAATGGTACATTTTAGTAGATATACTCATTATCTTATCATTATGGTATACTTAATATAAAATATTTTAGATCTGCTTGTTTGTTAATAATTTACGATATAATGAGCGCAGTAGATAACCTTATGTATAGAAAATCTGTGAGACAGAGTATGGAGGTCGCAGTGTATTTTACACGATTTATTTTCTTTTTTTTGGGGGGGGAGGGGGAGAGTGGGACTGATCAATTCGGTTATTTATAACATGCTATGTTATATTAACTGTAAATTATGGGTCTTATCAAAGTTATTCTAATGTATATAAAAACGAGACATGTCATTGTTTTTGTAATTTTTTTGAAAAAAATACTTTACCCACGAAGATTACATAAAACACTGTTTAATATTATATGCAGAACTATTCGAAAATTGTGAAGTATGGCAACAAAAAGAATATCAGACGTTTTAATGCTCTTGAGCTAAAAGTTTCACTTGAAAAACGCCCACACCTAAACAATAGTATACCTATAAAACAATTTGACCATATAAAATATAGGTTCGCATATATAATATGTATGTAAATATTCGATACCCGTCCATATTATATGATTTCCATTTGGATTTATAATATAATCACAATGTACGAATCGGAATAAATTAGCCGATAAATAGATATATAGATATATAGATATACCTGTAAAAAATGAGTAAACAAAACACGTTTCACCGGATACGGTATTGATATTATTATTATTAGTTTTTGTATCCTTCATCGCATCAGCTATCGTCCAGCATAATATTATTTGCGTTACAATACTCAGCGAACGAAATATACCTATTTTCTCGGCCATGATAATATTATTATTATTATGACCTTAATCTCGAGCACATGCTTTATAAATTCCGAGAGTAAATCGGATTTTGTTATCGTGCCTGTATTCCCATATAGCCATAACTCGTATAACATGACTAACAATAGTAAACAAAAAAGCTATCGTAGGATAATGGTGATGGGTGCAGCCACCGTTATAGGTGATTTAATGTGTATACCTGTAGGCAACGACAGACCATTACTAACGAAAAAACGATTCTGAACCGAGTTCGGTTAATAGTGATGCTTTGTCAACAATATATACGTCATATTATGGTAAAATCATTAAATGAGCATTGTACCAGGTGATTCATTTAAGTGAATACACTCATTATCTCGGAAAGTATAGCTAGTGGAAAGTAAAACTACCACCTACTTATGATTTTCCAATGACAACCTATGTTGAAAATTCCATAAATAGATCGAGCATTGGTTATAATAAATTTGAATGTTGAAATTTTTGATTTTTCTCAAGCCGTTGACGAAATATTCCACTTTTAAGTTAAAGTTGGAGGAGAATAGTGGTGCATAATTAACACGCCGCACAAATGATACTCCACTACTCTCCTCACGTCATTTGTTGTCATTTTTTTTCAAGTAAAATATCCGACGTCTTTTATGGTACGACGCGAACAATTTGGACTATTTTTTACTAGAATTATTATTAACTGAAAAAGAACTTATGGATAGGCGGACAGGAACTTAAAAGAGTTTTAAAAATGTTTCAAAGAGAGAAGTTATCACCGGGAGAAAATTACGCAGCTTTTAAGTTACGACATGAAAAAAATGATGAAACGTATTTTTAATAAAACTAAGCTTCTTCGCTATACACTCTGAATAAATCTAAAATATGTTCTCATACTATAATACAAAAATTCGAATTTATTGCAGTTATGTTGTCGTTTTTTTATGAGCTATGTATTTAAATTAAAATCACCTGTTACGGTATTTGAAATGCAAGATTAGTTGCGATAAAATTGTAATTTCGATTACCTATATAATATTTACCAGTGTTAATCATTTTTTTTTTCTAAATACCTAATCATTTAATTAATTTTTTGGATCTTTTATCGAGTCAACTCACGTGGCGACATAGTAATACGGTACTTACATCTAATAATACTTATAATACACATCGTGTGTATATAACGGTACACGGTATATAATATATTAATATAATGTGTACAGGTAACCGCGTACGCTTATAACTGCTAATATTATGTTTATACTAATCGGTAAGCGATTAAGTTATTATGTAGCAGTGAAGACAAACGCAAAAACAATTTCTTGAAAATTATTACAACAATGCACGAGTCAATACATTATTATTATCTACCTACCAAGTGATATTCACAGGGTTTTGTACAAATTAACCATCATCAATCAAGTGATGGAGAGTCGTGAATCATTGCATTGAATAAACATTGAATCATCAGTAAATGATTCGTATAATTTTCTAATATTCGCATTAGTAAGCAAAAAATAGCCCCCCCCCCCTCTAATACAACCCTGCTTTTAATCATCTTGTTTACAACATTTCCAAAATTTTACTCTAACATAAGCGTTTTTATCCTTAGTGGTAGTCGTACCACTAAGGATAAAAACGCTTATGTTTATCGACATACAGACAGTGTATAACAGTGTAATATTATAACACTTAAGCTCATTCTTGTAATTTTTTAATACTACTAAATAAATAAATGTATTATTATTATATGTAACAACAAAATAAAAAAAACGGCCATACTTCGCATGGGTAGACCATTGTTGTATGTAAGAAGTTGGAATGGTGGAGGCTAAATTCAGTGTATATTTGTACGTAACGATTCTGACCGGAGTTTGGCTATATATGTTTTGAAAGACCGTATTATTAACGATTTTATAATAATACATTTCGTACATTTTCCCGTTTTTACCACGTTTTTCACGGTTTTTCCCATTTATTATAAAAAAAAACTCTGGAAAAATCAAAAAATGACACCTAAAGTATCACTACAGTCACATTTACTCCAACATACCTAAATATCGTTTTGCAGTGTAAACTCTGTGCTTTTAGTTTTTGAATTTAAGTGAATTTATCTCTTGTCAAACTAAATTTTTAGATAAGAACATTATCAACATTGGTGCAATTTTTTCGACATTTCAATTTTCAAGAGAACATTCTCTGTAAGCATTATTAAACTATGTTATTTCACACGCCTAATCACATTTCGCTTGAAAATTAAAAAGACAGCGCCAGCGTTACCGAGAATAACATTCATATCTGTAAGTTTGATGATAGTAATTTTATAATAATCCACTCTAATATTAAAACTAACATTACAATATTGTTCCTGCTGAATGCAAATTTGCTATATCGTATATTTTTTGTTTGCGAGTAGTTTCCAAAAATCAAAGTATCGCCATTAGCTACATACTATACCAAATCTACCCTCGAAACCATCGATAGTCTTTTGGAACGATAATAACTGGTTCTTCGCACAGCCAGATAAAACCCAGTTGTAATAATAATAGTCGTTTACGGCTACTAATATAGTAAAAAAACTGAACGGAAATTATCGTGTTTCAAAGCATTTTTTTTTTTTTTTTCAATGTAATTTTGATGTAAGAAACAGGCCCGTTTTTCCGAGTTGCCATA